TCTTGGATACTTTGACGGGTGCGGCGATTGTCAGGGGTATCCAGATCGGGAGCAAGGAGCAGATGCTGGATATGATTCAGGCGATTGAGGCGAACGATATCAGGCCGGTGGTTGATGAGCGGGTCTTTGGGTTCGATGAGGCGCGTGAGGCGTACCAGTATCTGTGGGATCAGAAGCATTTCGGCAAGGTGGTTATCAAGGTTGATTAAACGAGAGGTTATGGGCGTGGAGCGGAACAGGGATCGACTGAGCATGTATTTGTAGCCTTATATTCAAGGAAAAAATGATGTGGACATTGTATGGCGACAAAAATGATAATGCAGGTTGCGACTACTCGCTTGATTAGCAATGCTCCACTACCCCGCATAGCTTAATCCAAGCCAACAGATCAAGACGCCATCCCCTCTGCCAACTCTCTAGCTGTCATCTGAGCATGATCTAAAACAATGCGAATTTCCTCCACCTTCTCCTTCACCTTATCAGCATGTCGAAGGTTCTGCCCCGCTTCAGAAACCTCGCCCTCGACCGTGACTGAAGCCCGCAAGTCCCGAGTGATGTTTGCGATCTCGTCGCGCAGCCTTTGGTCTAGTTCATCAAAGGTCTGATTCAATATGCGGTGATAGTCTTCAGCGATATTTGAGGCGAATTGCATGAAAAGCGTTGGAGATGAAAGAGAGCGGTTCATTGTTCCCTTGCGTCGGGAATCGCTTCCGGTACCTGCATCCACCGGCTTGAAATTAGACTTTCGTCATTTCCATTGGCTGAGCTCGATCCCCTACCGTACTGCTCTTGGCAGATATTATAGACAGGGCGCATGACACCCGCGATATAGGAACTGGAATGCCCGTGGATCGTGTCGGCTTTGACTTTTCTGTGAAGCTAATCAGCCAACAGCGTTTGGTCCAGCTTGCACGTGAAACCATACTCCGTTGTATACACAAGATCATGGAAGGAACTGCGCACCGCTTCCTCCAAGCATCTTTGCCGGGTGCGGATATTTGAAAGCAGATTCTGCAGCGATTCTGGCGCGAGGTCCTGGTGTTCTGAAAGTTTGATCGTATTAGCAATCCAGCTTTCATCTGCACTTTGAATTTCAACGTGATTGCTTACTTGCGATAGACTCGCAGACCTCCCTGAACAGACGCGAAAGACCCTTCTCGAAGCCTTCCGCATGTCCCTCCAACTGGCTTAACACAACATCCCATGCGAGGATTAGCCAATCACGTGCGGAGCCGAGGATCTCCTCATTCCAGCAACGGTAGGGCTGCTTCCCCGTCTGGTGACTTCCATAATTGCGACAAAAAGCTGCGTATGTCATGTGATGCCACTTAACATGAGAGATTAGCTCTTGGGATCGATGGTGTCTGGTACGTCTCTTTGACTTACTAAAGCCCACTCTCTACTCGCATTGACTGCACTATTGCACCAGTCGCTTCGTGACTTTTCTGCATCAGATTCCTCGATTAGCTAAGTATTTGAAGCCAGTGAAGGTTCATACGCACGAATTAGTCGAGTGATATCACTATTAAATAGCTGTTTCACAGTACCCTGCGCTCGGCGCACTTCTGAGTCCTGCGAGAGAATATTCTACGCAAGTCAGCAACGGTTGTTCCCGTCTCAGGTCAGTAAAGCACATCAGTCCGTACGAATCGTGTGCTTTGGACGAAAAGAGGATTCCTTTAGTGAAAGTTATCGTACCCGTTCGAGGGTCGTTTCCGCCTTTACTAAGACACCACGCAGTAATTCGGCTCGGGCGACAGTGATGCCACTAGAACCTGCCAACACCCATTGATGTATTGAACCTAAAAGCGCCGGAACATCATTTTTGATGTAGGCGACTGTTGCCCGGAACTGCGCATCAGCAGGAACAGATTGGCAGTAGCGACGAAGCTCGGTGATTCCACTCAGCGCACGGTACCCATTGGCTTCCTCGATGTCGTTGAATCGATGATCAGCGTAAAGCTTATTGCTAACACAGAATACCCGCGCGTTGCTGCCCCAGGCGGCTAACAGACTGTCCGTGACTTGGGTGTTCCTTCTTGTGATGAGGAAACGATTCAACCTGGAAGTGTTTAGTTGGCGGCTGCTGTTGCTTCTTAGATTAATAAGGGGTATCACTTACTCAAGCTGGAGGGCGTCTTTCTGATCGCTGTAATGATGTCAAACAATGGCGAGATTGTTCTGTCAGCTTTACACACCTTAGATCTGTCTCCTCAGCGGCGAGGCTTTGGCCTCTACTCCCGCTCGCTCGTCGTCTTCGGGAGCGTGTCGACCTAATTCTACTCTCAAGACGCTCGATTCGGCTGTCCATATTGCGAATGCGTGCAGCATCATCAATGGAAGAACTGCGCGCAGTCTCTTTTGCATCGACATCCTGACATTCTTCAGTCCATCATCCGATCTCTTTAAAATAGACACTAACCTCTGAACGAGTGCAAACAATGCGAATGGGTTGATCTCTTGCACAACGTTGGATAATGTCGCCGATCGACTGGTCGGTGGTACAACGGAGTATCGAGCTGACGACGAACACTTCGTCGCAACTGTGACGGAGATACCTCTCTGTCGCCCGGACTCGGGCATAGTTCAGGTCGCGGAAGCCTAAGGATGTCAATGTCTGCAAGTTCGCAAACGGGTAAGAGAATGGGTTGTAGTACCTGGAAGATCAGCCAAGACCAAGCCAGTGCGCAAGACAGGCGACCGCAAATAAACCCTACCACGTCATTAGCCACATGTTGCAAGATCTTGTATTAGCCTTTCCAAACCTGATCAGCTTTACAAAGGGCCACAACGCTGGTCGCTTGCTATCTTTGGGGTCTGCCATGAGATTGTCCAGCTGCTCCATGCATTCATCCGCATGCCGAGCTACTACGGAATAGCGAAGGTTGTCTCGCCCCCCCGGTCGGTGATCCAGTCCAGCCATGGCCCATTCCTGCAGGGTCGTTAAGACGGTCTCTACTGACTCTTCCCCTTCCTTGGACAGAAACTCGAGGTCAAAGCCTTTTTGATGTGGGAAAAGAGACCGCAATGTCTCCCACGCTCTCAGCGCTGCGGCCTTGATGTCCTCTTTTTCTTCCGAAACTTGCACTTCGCGAAAGGCATCTGTGTAGTATTTCCGAACACTAGAAAGCAACTCCTCTAGTAGTTCACGAATCTCGCTCTTATCCATAAAGTCCGCTTCGACGGTATAGTTCTGCGGATGTTGGTCATTAATACTCCGGAATTCTGTAACCACTGTCGTGCAAGCAGCACCGTCCCCACTCTGCGAAAGTTAATAACCAGAAACAAGAACTATCCCTGGTTGGGGGCTTGACTTACCGACCGGGCCAGCCCCTCTTGGTCAAGAATGGAGTTTATTAAGCTGCTCTTGCCTGATGCGAGATAAGCCTTTCCTGTCTGAGGGTGGATGGGTCCGATACTCACCCATTCCCGAGTCGCCGATGAAGCCCACAGTCCGCGTTGCCGGATATGCAAAACGACTCGCTTTGAGTGCTTGCTCATACAATTGATGCAACATTGTAGTTGAATCGCTCACCAACTCGCGTCTCCTCCCAAGCTGCTGCGCAAGGCCAGCGAGTTGACCTCTGATATTGCGTAGTGCATTCTGAAGTTGAATATCGTATATTGGCGCTCGAGGGAGTTCTTCCTGGCGAACGTTGTAACGACTTGTATCATCATCGTCGTCTTCGTCGTCATCGTCGTCGGAGTGACCGTGTTCCGAATCATCGTGAGTCGCGTTGTCATCACTATCGACAGCAACATGATCGGTGAAAACGAGCTCATGATGAATCTTGTCAGAAGCATTTGCTGCGGTATGCTTTGAGCCTTCCAGATTCAGGTTTGTCAAGTTGCTCTTAACATCTTCCAAAGGAGAGGCGGGGGTGCTTGCTCGCGACTGCTGATCCGGCCGGCGGGAGGAGGGTCCGGCAGGACTAGGAGTGGCATTGTGGAGGTCTCTGTAGGTTGTGGCGAGAGATTTGGGTGTCGGGCTCAAACCAAACACTCTTTGCGCCTGCTCAGTGTAGTCAACCGATGACTCTTCAGCTTCTTGGGGCTTAACATGTTCACTGAGCCGCAGCGTCTCGAAAAGGGACTGTGCAGTTGGCGTGATCGAGCGCCGATCGCTTCCGCGGAGACGTGGGCTTGATTGGTCCACGGACGAGGTCGGTGTTATCGCACCTCCAGCAGATGAAGGACTGCATGAAAAGGTGAACTCGACTGATGGAAGGACTCGATCACGTTTAGGTGAAGGTGAGGGCGTTCTGGGATTGTCCGCGTTGCCATCCATGACGCCGTTATGTGCGCAAAGGAAACGTAGCCTGGAGAGTGGAGATATGTTTTGAGAGATCTGTGGGCCATGACAGGCGTTTTTATCTGGAAGATCAAACGGAAAGGAACGGGGACTAAAGCTGTGGGCCCCATCTGTTGCCGGTCTGAGCATTATTAGTGGTGAATGATGGCGCGAGTTGACTGCGCCGCCGGTGGAAATTCCGAAGCTAGTTTTGCTTAGCCTGGCGCCAAATGACCGCGACAATGCGCTCAGCCACTGCTAGACCAGAATTTCAATAAGAAAACCTCAGTTAGTGGAGAGTGTTTTGCCGACCTTGGTAAAATCTGGCAACAATAAGTAGCCATCCTGGTCAACCAGGCCCCGGTCCTTGCCGATTCATAAGGTTATGCCAGTACCACAGTCCCATGGTTTTGAAGCCTAAGGCTGTGGCTTGGTCTGGAAATATAGGCTGTAAGGAAGCCTTCACATCCTAAACAATGACTGGTTGAACTTTAGGCAGTACACGAACGATCGTGAGTTGTCTGATTGACTGGTTTTGGATTGCTTACGGGGAAAGAGCTGAAGCGCAGACCTGACTGAACTAAAACGACCAAGGGGAGAGTCACCTGATGATGCAGCTAAGCACTATCTGCGAACCTACCCCTCACACAACATGCTTACTCTTTCTCCACCCATTCCTTGGTCCGTACGCGAATGATGCTCGTCAGGCATGCAGTCGATAACATTTCCTGGAGTGAATTATGGACTCCAGGTTGGTGACAACTCTGGCCATATTTCCGCCGAGTTCCACCTTCCTCCAGGTCAGTCCAGCCCCCCAACCGTTAGGACCAGTGTGACTAAAGCCAGGCTGCTATTTCAGTGCGACCTGAAACACCACCAAAGCCCTTCTCCACCATCCCATTTGCTCGAGATGACGACTACGTTGCCTGTGGCTCGATACTAGACGACATCCATGCGAGGTGTGCAAGACCAGCATCGAGGACAGCGCTTGTGGGGCTGGGTGATGTTGGGTAAGCTGTGAACCCCGATCGCCTCATCGTCTGCTGACGTTCGAAAGGAAATCGCAATTAGCAATTGAATACTCCTATCGCGTGCGCGAAGAATCGCCTGATACGTGGGTTTTCTGGGTCCATGCTAGTAACGCATCACGTCTTGAGTTGAGCTACCGAGAGATCGCCGACCGTCTCGAGCTTCCTGGACGGCACGATGCTACGGCTAACGTCCTCCAGCTGGTAAACAACTGGCTTTATAATTCGAAGCACGGGAAATGGATTTTGATACTGGATAATCTGGATGATGAGGGTTTGCTTGAGGAGCCGTTGCAAAATGGCCAGACAAACGACGCTGGCAGCCAAACGAGCACACTGAAGAGACCGTTGTTAGGACTGCTCCCTCGCTGTCCTCACGGGGCGATCATCTTCACCACGCGAAACAAGGCGGTGGCACTGAAATTAGTTAGCGACCGCGACATCCTCCACATCAACCCGATGGATGCACCATCCGCACTTGCCCTTCTACGCAAGAAGCTTAGCATCAACACGGCCGATGAGGAAGAGGCGGGAAAGCTTCTCGAAGCGCTCGAATTTATGCCACTGGCAATAATCCAAGCCTCTGCTTTCATGCAGTATCATGCTCCGAGGTACTCCATTGCGCGGTACTTGAAGGACTTTGAGAATAATAGTCATATTCTGGACCATGAGGCTGCCCAGCCTCAACGGGATTATGAAGCAAGTAATTCCATTCTGAGAACGTGGCAGATATCCTTCGACTATATCCGACAGTCCAGACCAACTGCAGCAGACCTTCTGTCTCTGATGAGCTTCTTTGATCGGCAGGGAATACCGGAGATCTTACTCAGAAGCACGCCACGAGCGCAGGAAGGAGATGGCAACGTTACCCAGTGTGAGAATGAGTACGGAGTACCGAGGAAAACGGCTGATAGCGCCTTCGAATTTGAGCATGACATCCGTATGCTGAGAGAGTTCTCGTTCATCGCGATCAGGCGAGATCCCCAGATATTTGAGATGCACAGACTCGTTCAACTTGCTATAAAAGGGTGGCTGGAAAGGGAGGGCCTCGTGTCACGCTGGCAAGGCAGATCCATGAACAGCCTCGATCGCATTTTCCCATTCCAAGCCAAAGATCAACCAAAGTACGAGTTCTTATACCCTCACCTCAATAATGCAGTCGCCGAAAGGCCAAGCCTACCAACATTGATGCCTAACTGGATCTCCCTGCTCATGAAAGGTGTGACTCATGCGGCATATTGCGGGGACTATAGGGACATGAAGCAGATGGCGTCAACGCTCAGAGAGGCAAGTGAACAGCTGTTCGGCTCGGGGAACCTGATGGCTACTTTTGTTAATGAGATGGAAGCTCTTGTCTTACAGTACCAACACAACCAGGAGAAGCTAGTAGCGCGCCATCTGCAAACAATCAAGTCATGTCAGGAGCTCGGTGGGGAAACCCATTACCTGACATTAGAGGCCATGGATTCACTCACAGATGTCTACCTCATGCAAGGTCGACTGCAACAGGCCGAAGAACTAGGAGCCAAGGTACTTCAGAGTAGCCGACAAGTATACGGCTACACTCATCATGTGACAGTATCCGCTTCGAAGACTCTCCGACGAGTTTACATCAGACAGCGGAGATGGAGGCAGGCCGAGGAGCTAGCTTTGCAGGACATCCAGGTCGCGAAGGAATTGCTGGGTGATGAACATTCGAGAACCTTTGAGGCTGTCGAAGAGTTGGGACAACTGCACATGATGCAAGGCAAATGGTATGATGCCCAAAGTCTGCTGATGTCTTTGGTGGAAGCAAAAAAGCGACTCCTAGGCAGCAGGGATCCGTCCACTCTAGGTTCGATGGGCCTGCTCGCAGAAGTGTACGAGGGTCAGGGTCGACTGGTAGAGGCGAGGAGACTGTATACCCATGTGCTTCAAGTCCAGAAAGAAGAGCATAGGGAGGACGAATCTCTCACAACCAGATTCAGAGCAATCTTGCAACGCAAGCACGATGACTCAAACGAAACTACATCCCTCTACCAACGCATCGTCAAGATTTTCCAGGGGCCTTTGCGTGAGCAAGTAATGGAGCTCATGGTTGCCCCATGGGCTCCAAAAACGACCAGCCTAACAGACCACTTGGGAGCGTTGTACTACAGCCAAAAGAAGTGGGAGGCTGCAGAGAAGGCTTTTCTAGAAGCCCTGACAACTCGGTTGGAGACCTTGGGAGAAGCACATCTTGATACGATTACTACTAGAGGAAACCTCGGGGCTGTATATATCGAACAAATGCGCTGGACAGACGCTGAAGGTGTGTTTGTGCGGAATCTTGACATGCTTTCTAACCAAAGCCCACGGTCGGAAGAAGTGCTCAGTGCCGAGATCAATGCTAGGATGAAGCTGGGAATCATTTATACTAAACAAGAGAGGTGGAAAGACGCAGACATAGAATTCATGCAAGCTCTCGAGAGGAACAGTGAAAGTCAGCGACCTGGGGACGAGTATTCCCCAACTCTGTCAACCGCAATTGGGCTAGAAGCGCGACACTCCGGTGAGAAGCGATTGATGGATGCAGTAAGACGGTTTATGGACTTCATCAACAGCCGGGAATTGACTCTCAGAGAAAAGCACCCACGAGCTGTCGTTGTCAGCAGAGAGCTCCTGGAGCTGATGGTTATGATGCTGAATGATCTGCAAACAGCACACGACCGGGAGGTCGCAACGTTAGAGCTCATGAAACAGGCTGCTTCTGTCACAGCTTCTGTCCAACAGATTCAAGACCTTCAAAGTCTGCACACGGAACATTCCCCAGTCTTGGAGAAGGTCGGCTCTATTATACAGACAATGGAAACGCTGATGAGTGAGCTGGATGCCAATCCTCAAGGAGACAAATCTGAGGAATGGAGTTCCTACTTTGGTTGGTTGCTACTAGTTTCCATCCTCGTCGGCGGCCTTGCCTTCTTCCTCTGATAGGACTCCTGCCCGTAGTCCGGCGCCCGTATAGTCAAGCCTCTTTGGGAAAGTCGGCATCTCTAACTATACGTGCAGAGCTACACTTGGCACGGAACAGCATGTCTCTCCCTGCTTCACAAAATCCACCGCATATGACGAGGCCGAACATCTGATGGAACCACACTCCATCATCCCCACATCAGTTCACTCTATGTCTCCGCTTACTACCAGCTTTCCTTCCAATGAGAAAATGCAATTCCAGTCGAGCTAACGATGGAGGACGCTTCGTTGTCAGCATCTGTTACTCCCCTTGGGTCTTCCAGCCCAAAGGCAGCGCAAGCTCCAGGGGCAGATAGCTGCGCCACGACCGTCACCAAGGCCCATCAACTCGGACCTCAACCACTGACTCTGTGGTAATTTTGACAACCACGACATGGCCGATTAGATGACTCTTTCGCCTCGACCTCCATTGAAAGCACACCACCTACAATTTTCCCTCTATCTCGTGTTCATGTATGGCAAGTACAAGTGAACTTTTTCAAGCGAGCCAGACCTTGCGATTGAAGTGCTGCTCTCCTCGCCTCCCACAATGCATGTGGGAACTACTTACCAGGGTAGATCTAAATTTGTGTAATAAATGTACGTGACATGGTAAGAAAGGGACTAGAATAAATACACATTTTGGACAAGGTTGATGGATTCCCCCAGGCAGCAGGAAGAACCCGTGTATCGAATGGTAGCTAGATCGCCATTCGATGCGTCAAATTTGATTTGAATCCTACTCAGCACAAAGAACTGCCTTTGGGTGTGGATATTCTTGGCTTATATAGAACCACGATGCCTGGTTGAAGAAAGCAAATTAATGATGCGAGACGCTTCCGAGTCCCACTATCTATTCACGCTACGCCAGCAGGGACTAGAAGACGTAGACTATACTTTATCTCGAGAAGGGAAATTGACAAGACGCACATACACTTCAGCGCTCACTCATGAAACCAACCAGCTACAGCCGCATGAAAAGTCCCGACAACCCTACCTGAATATCAACTTTGTATCTCGAAGAACCCCCTACCCTCCTGAAACCCTCCGCCACCACACCCCTCATGACTTCACAACAAAGATCCCAGAATGCCAGCTGCAATAAGCGTAGATCTCCATCTACTCCCCCTTCAACACAATTACATATAAAAGCCCAGTCTCAATCATCCACACCTCAGACCAAAACACCATCATGCCCCAACCTTATCCAACAACCAACCCCAAATATTAATCCCAGAACACCCAAACCACAAACCACAAACCCCAAACCCATCATGGCTACTCCCACCCCCGCCTCGATCGAACCCTTCGTAACGCACGCCCTAACCTTCCACGCGCCCTTCGAAACGCCCAACCCCATTCCGCGAGGCAAACTCCCCCACTGGAACGTGTACGCCGTCCCGCACGGCGCCGGAACCTACAGCATCGAGGTGTGCTGGGTGCGGTGGACGGCGCCCGTCAATTGGGCGGAGCTGGCGCTGCCGGCGCTGAACCGGGGGTTCGAGTACATCCGCACGCTGTACCCGGACATGAAGCCGATGTGGGGGACGATCTCGATGCGCACGGCGGTGCGGCTATACCGCGAGCGGGTGCGGGAGGAGCCGCACAGGGAGCTCGGAGACGTGCATCGCGCGGGGCTGCGCGTGGTGGACCAGTTCTGGCTGCAGGGAATGCGCGAGTGGCATCCTGTCGAGGACCGGGCAATCTTGCAACATTGGGAGAGCCTGATTCCGAAGAATGGGGACGGGGCCGAGGAGGAGGAGGTTCGGCCGAGGATGAAGATGTGGGAGGAACGCATCGGGTTGCAGCCTGGGCTGAATGCTAATATTCGGTGGCGCTGGATGCCTGATCACTCTTCCTGGAATCGTTAGCTGTGCTTCGCTTTGTCCGGGGCTGGTTGATGAACTCACAACACAGACAGTAGACCTCCTTAAAAGAAACATAAAAATAGAAGAAAACACCCCGGAAGGGGATATCAGAGTCAAAATATACATTTTCAAAACCAAAGAACCGCTTCCGACGGTACTGCACAGATGTTGTACTTAGTTTTGTGGTGATCCAGATAATAATTTATCGCATCACAAATTCACATCATCGAGCAATCCCCACATGCGAACACACGGCCAGTGCTTGGCATTCTCGATCGCAATCAAATCAGCAATCAAGATTTCATTCCGCCTGAGGGGTAGACAGTGTCGCTTCTCCTCAGCATCCACCCAATACGACACCCGCGCCGTCACCAGACCGTCGGCCTCCACAAATACGACTCCTCGGGGCCATGGCTCCGCCTTATCATAAATGGACTGCAACTCCTTCTTCATCCCTTCTTCCATAATGTCAGATGTCAGGGTGGCGCTCATGAACCCTTCCTCCGACCGCCAGGAGCGAATAGCTGCAACTCCCCGCGCGCGGACGCCGTAGTCCGGACATCGGAAGATGCTGATGATCAACGCTGGCATTATTGCCAGGTCAGCTGTGACGGCGGGATACTCGCCGCCAAATTTGGCCATTGCGTTTTCAGATGCGATGATCAGGGCTTCGCATTCGTGAGTCAGGCTCTCGGGCCACAAATCACTTTTGTAGTAGAGAGCCACCTTCGAAGCGAGGATGCCCTGTCGGCAACTGAGCTTGATCAGCTCCGCTTCGCGATGTCCTTTGCTGAGTTGAGATGTGCCATCTGCGCTGTCTGGATATTCCTGTGCACAAAAGATCTCGAATTGGCAGAGAAATCGGTGGAAATACGAGAGCAACAGGAGTTGGCGGTGCTGTAAGGATGCGTAGTCTTCTCGAATATAGTTATCCGATGCCTTGAGATAAAGCGCGGTAAAGAGGAAGTTGGCCTGGGTCAAAGGCTTCAATACCTGTTTCGCATGTCCCAGACTTTGAAAATGCTGCATGTACCTTTCGTACGGTTGTCCAAAAACGAAGTGGCTGTCAAAGTCCAACGGGTTCTCGGTGCCATAAAAAACGGACGATTCCTGAAGCTTCAAAAACATCTCCACCACGCAGTTTTCCACCGAGAACCTGGGGCCGGATGGTCCACCGAAGACGGTCTCTTGGCTAAGCTCCAGGCCCGTAGTTTGCCGCTGGATCTTCATCATGTGTAGAATCTGCAGTCCCCCTTGGATGTGAAAATTAGCATGGTTGCGATTCCCATGGAGTAGCTCACAGATCACGAAGAGTAGACAGCAGACAAGGATAACCTCCTGCAGGTGGGGATCTTGTGACATGCGTCTTTTGTTCAACAGTGTGATCGCACGTCCAGACTGTTCAAGCGCAAACTGGTACCATGTATTCTGCAAATGCACAGTACTCTGTCCAGCGCGGGGAATACAGCCTGCGATCTCGTTGGCCTGGTTGACGGCCCCCAGAGCAATTACCGCGTGATAGATGGCGGGCTCTTGGTAGCATAGGCGGAAGATCACCTGCTGCCACAGAGGTGAATCATAAAAGCCAACCAAGTGCTCTACCGATCTATGTTGAAAGAAAGACAGGCATCGGCGCTCGTCCGAGGTAGCCGTCCACTGCAGCTTGCGGGTCATGTCGGCGGGAATGGTGAAAACTGGAACAAGATTTCCAGTCTTACGTCGGCCACCCCCCGGAATAAGTCTGTGTACATCGTATCCTTCGCAAGCTCTACTAGAACTGGTGCAGTTGTTGCAGGCGATAGGTGTTTCATCGCACTTGACACGACGAGCACTGTATAGTTTGAGTCTTAGTCACAGCTGACATCCACGGCGTGATACAGGAAACTATGACTTACCGACAAGTACGACAACCCGTACGAGATCGTTTCGCGAGAGCTTTCTTACGTGGGTTGATCATGATGTTTTTGGTCTCGGTGTGTTGATTCGCCGGTCGATAGTTGTCAGAAGATTTAAGGGACATCGTGTGCTTTTTAAAGCTGAGAACCAAGGTTTTCCCAGAAAGAGGCCAAATAAGTGCGTACAGGGGGGTATGGCCGGTAGCCAATCATTGCAATACACGAGTAATTCAATAATATGCTGGAACGGCGCCATTGCTTGCCTAACGGAGACGACAGTAGTTAGTCATGCTTAGATCGAAGCTAACTTCAGGGAACAGGATTTGTATCGATAGCGATGCCACCCGATCGGATTGCAGAGATGCAACAAACCTTTTACTATCAGGCGCAAGCGCTGCAACTGCTGATAGTTCTACGGTGATTTAGTAAACACACACTTTATTTTCTATCACTCTGGGTTGGCTTCGTAGTTAGTGATGGAAGTTCCATGCCCCATACCAGGAAGGATTCGAGATCGGGTCTAACGAGTGGGGCAACAAAATCCAGACGACGCAGCCAATTATCGTCCACGAATCTGTCTGACAGTGATCCACATTGAAACTCAATGTCATTGTTTTGTGAGGGGAAGGAAACAAGCGGAAGTGCAGCTTTCTATCAAGTTCATGGAATGATGCTTGGTAGAAATCTGACCGCGTCGAGTGTGCCGGTCACCTTCACGTGGTTAGAAAGCAGCCAGCTCCCGAACAGCATGCCGATGCATAGATTCAGTGTAGCAGCTGGTGTGTATGCCAAGAGATTGGCTTACGCCCGGGGGATATATCCATACGAGAAGCACATGAGTGTTGGGGCAAAATCATCTTGCCATTGCGTTGTATCCACACTATCGTGCAGTTCGTTCTCGAACCGATAAACCTTGAACAAAAAGCCAAGTGATCCGGTATACTTGATGGGAGTATAATGACCTCACAGATCATTCTTGCATTGTTTGGCTTATGCTGGTGGAGAGCATAAGAGATCCGTTCAACGATGGGCTTGCCATAGACCTGCAGGAGTATTTCTAGCCCGCAGCTTGGAGTGAATGCGTTCTTGTAAGTCACAGCCCCCTCGAGATAAACCAATTTTGTTCGAAGGCGAGGGAATAGCCCCGGGGACACGGCGGTAATGGATTTGGCCTGATTATGCGGGATTCTGATTGCCTTCCTTATGTTTCGAAGGTGAGCGCAACTATTGTAACAAGTCCAGATCCCTTTCGTGTTAGATCATCCGCCTAGCACATTGTCTTTGCAATAACGGTCAACTCGAAAGCACTTATGTCGATCGAGAGAGCTCTCTTACTTGGCAGGCATGGACGTTGTTCAGGCATTCCTGCCGAGAGTGCTGGTTTTTGTTGTTGTGCAAGATTAAGGATCAACTGGCCATATTACGGACTGACCGTCAGGGACAATTCAAGGACTGCATGGAGAGAAATAAAGGCTTGCCGCATGCAAAGACAGAAAGATGATCCCGAGAAAGCCTTGCATAGTGGGAATCAGAAATGTGGTGTTGTTCCGTAAAGTGTACGGGTCGCACTGGAAAGAGTAGCTGCTATGTTGGGTCACGTGGCTGGGATGCTGAGTGGTAGACACTCCTCCGTCCTCCTTCCATCTGCACCATCTGCACCATCCGTTCGAGGCCACCATTTCGTCCAGATCGTGTCCGGGCATCGACACTTTGTTTATCACCAGTGGACCTTATCTTTCCCACGAACCTTCTCATCGTTCTCTCGGCAGACATTTCCCATCTTGTGATGCGCACAGATGATGTGCCTCGCGATACGTGAGATGTGCTATAGCACTTGGACCGAGGGAACATGCGGAGCAGTGCCAGGGGACTTTGGTGAGTACAATCTGGTGGGCTTATCCGTGCATTATCAGGTGATCGAAATCTGACTGTCGATCAAGAGGTACCGACCGGGGTTGTCCTTGATTTCGCGCAAATCCTCATTAGTACCTGACGGTCAGAGCGCAGGCACGGTCTATATGCCGCCATATTCGGTCGCAACAAATCGCTGAACTCGCGCGATGCTATTATGGATGTCTCCAATTGATGAATGTGGCATGTTGATGTCTAGTGGATGAACAAATCATTCACCCCGAGTCGTGGCCATTAGCTGGTCCAGAACCTGAATTTTGTTGACTCGTCGATTGTGACAATCGACCACGGCTGGTCTTCTTTGTTCACTTGGCCTTAGCTCGGTTCGTGCAATTTATACCTTCCGGGCCTGTTCCGCCCTGGCCACATTTCCTTTCTTTGTTTGAAAAAAGGTCCCGACTGCAATCAACCCAACAATAAAACCGAACCATGGGTCTGCATCGTCCCTGCTTTGGTGTAGCCATCCAGCATCTCGTCAAATCTCACAATGGCTGCATCCTCGCGTCCGATAACGTCGCTTGTCTTGATGGACCTTTTTGGTGTACTGGGCGCTCTCATCATGATCCTGAGACTGTTTCTGCGCAAGTATCGGCACCAGCGATTTGAAGCGGCCGACTACTGCACCGTTTTCTGTTTGGTGACGCTTCTTGTCTGCGTGAGTTTGCTCACTGCGATAAGCGTCATCACCTTGACTCGGGACGCCCGCCTCCAAGCCCAACATTTTACAGATAAGTTGCTCGAAGAGCAGTTGCTGAAGAATAAAATGCTGGTGGCGCATCAAGCTATATTTCGTGCCTAGTAGGGTTCCTATGAAGTGGCTGACAGGGCGATTGCTGACAGTTCTAGTCTTTGGGGCCAGAAGGCCGTTGTTCTCCTGTTTATCTCACGCGTCCTTGAGGGTCTCGCGTGGCCCTTCATCTTCGTTCGCATCAGCTGGGCAATACTACTACTGAGTTTCGGGGGTGTGGAGCTTGAGATGTTCATGGTCTGTGATTACCGCAAGAAGAGTATGATTCCTGCTTTTGATTCGGATGTCGAAGTCACTAAGTGTGTTGTATCAGAGCCTTGCCTCGGACGTGTCGGAAACCTCGTCACCTATATCCTGCTCAATGGCCTTACAGACCTGATGCTCATTGTGCTCCCTCTTCCATGGCTGATTCGGGTGAAAAGACCCTGGCATCGGTAGATCCTCATCCCTCCCTAAGCCTTCCCTGAGACTCTCACCTAATCACCCTAGCCGCCTTCAACTCATCGCCCTTTTCTCGGTTGGCTTCCTCTGCATCATCGCAACCATCCTCCGCGCCCCCATCCACGGCGACACCCAAGACCTCGTCGGGCAAGGCTACTGGACTGCCGTCGAGTTTATTGCGTCGGCTATCGTTGCCAACTTTCCCACGCTATACAGTCTACGCCGTGCAAGAAAGCCAGAGACCCCAATCTATCCCGACAACCCCTACCCAGCCCGACGAGGGGGCTCCAAAATCCGGTCTGCGACGAGTATCGAGCTGCAGGAGTCATTAGACATGGATCACCTGGATGCCGACCCACGGATGAGTGGAAAAATCACCAGTCAAGCGAGCAACGAGCCATTGTTCTTCAAGGATTCGGAGACGGAGAGTCTCCGGGTCGAGGGACTTAGGTCTAGAGGTTAAGTCTTTTGGAACTTGGGTATGAGGCTTTGTAGCATACTGGAGTGAGGTCATTGGACAACGATGGTATTTTGGGTACAACCTGACGTAAATCTAGCGTCTCGCGAATAGAAATTGGTGGAGGATATATACTTCGGGCATCGTTGCGTAGGGTACGTTACGCCTAGCCCTTTCTTTTTGGTGCCATATAAATTTGGAGCATACTAATACTCATTTTTGATCAAGATTACATATTTGACTTTTCATCGTGTCTAGCTACTTAATCTTAGGTTCCCTCGTTCGAAAGTTAGTAGCAGCTACTCTCGTCGTCGGTCGTGTTGTTCTACAACCTTGCTGTCCGGGCGCGATGTGCCTTTTTGCCTCGTTGCCTTAGGGCTGTTGCTCCACTGTTAAGGCATTATACGGCGTCAGTCAATTTACGCCCGCGAATGGTCGATTATATGCTCACGACAGACCTTGAGAACATGCTCAGAGAAGACTAAGCACCTATTGAGACACAAAGTTAGACTATTCTGTCTAAGTACATTGTCACTGAAGCACGGATCAAGGACTAACCACTGAGTCTACTTGCAGTCGAACGCATCACAACTATCGGTAAATACATTCGGATGCACACTGTCGAACAAACAAACCGGGGCACGTACTTAAGATCATCGTATCTCCACAAAGACATATCTGGAATCCCCAGCACCGAACAATCAAACATCAACCACATTACCGAAAGTCTCCGCTACAAATCCCATCAACCGACGATCGTCACCCCAGATAAAGCCAACAACAGTCTATATAAGACCAGCCCTGACAACACAAAGGGCCCTCCCCCTCTTCCTCCCATCCCCCACCCATTCCATTGTCCCAAACCTCTCGTAAGAAACCCCAACAGAACAACGATGGCAGTCCCCAAAAGATCACCGCCAAGTCGCTCTCCAAGCCCAATGCGACGACCGCCACCTCCATCCCCACCACCACCACCCCCTCCATCACCAAACCGGGACCCAATTCCACCCCCACCCCCTCGACCCGCACCAGAATCCACCGCCAACGACAACGAAGCCAACAAAGAGAACGCCGCCCCAAAAGAAGAAGGCGAGCTCTCCCCGGAGCCGACGAACTACACGCTCGCCGACTTCACCTACCCCTCCTTCGACGTGCTGCTGCACCCGATCGCCCCGCGGACGGAGACGGTGAACCTGATCTTCCCCCGGCCGGGCCCGTTCTGGCAGTGGGAGGACGCGGTGCAGGACCTGCTGGATTGCATCCGGGAGCAGCGGGAACTGCGGCCGCACGCGGCCCCATTCGGCGGGTCGATCTACTGCGAGGGCCTGATCCGTTTCTTCATGGAGGTGCCCCCGACGATCCCCGGGAGTGACTCGTACATCATGCAGTTCCATCATCGGGGCTACACGGTGTTCGACACCGAGTCGACGGAGGCGACGGCGGCGTGGATGCGCACGCTGCAGGTGAATCCGTCGTTTGAGGAGGAGTGGGCGGACGAGATTTTGCGGTTTCTGTTGGCGTGTGCGCAGCTTGCGGTGCGGAATGGGTGGGTTATGGATTATAGGGAGAGCAAGAAGAGGGGGTAGGTTCTCTCCTTGTTTTCTTCTTTGGTATGGGGTATAGCATGTAAGATCAAAAATATTACATTATTTGAGTCGTTAAATATCTTTGTTCTATGGTAAAATATTGGATCTTCTGGTGTGGAGCGCTGGGTTTGCGTCGGTGTGTATTCCTTTATGATTGCATTTGTGTGTCTAGAGCTAATCCCCCCCGCCCATGCTGATACTGTAGAGCAGACTCGAATGTCAGATAAAACCTACTCAGCCAAGAACGACCAGTCTAATGCTACAGAAATAAATCGAGACTGATTTCTTTGTCCCTCACGCCTGAAAATCCCAAGTGAACCGAACAGTCTTTTGGGAATCGTGGCCCTACAACAAAGACCCAATCAATGAGTTGTCAACACACAAAGCCCTACTTCCACTATACCGTAAGTCTCCACAAAAAGCCAAACAAACATGAATGTCACCATCACTGAGTCCATCACCAAGCAACCCACTATATAACCCGCGTCCCCAATCCACTCAACAATGACTTCAACCCCAACCCCCTCCCCCTCCCATACCCAATCCACCCCCACCACGAAAATCGCCAAAATGCAAGAAACCTACACCTTCGAACTAAGCACCATCACCCCCACCCAACAGGTGGTGATCGTCGCCCCGGAGACCCGCGAACTGGCCACGCAGACCTTCGACTGGGAGATCCTGGAGAACCGCCTGCGGGCCGTCTTCCAGAAGCTACGGGAGATGCGGCCGCAGGCGCCGCTCTTCCACGGGATCATCCACGCCTTCGAGCATGTGTGGTGCTATCGCGAGCTGGCCCCGGGGGAGACAGGCACTGACCGAGCGGTGTATCGGTACGAGTTCGACGGAGAGCCCTCGCTGGACTGCGTGCTGGACATCGAGTTCCTGTATGGCTGGTTGGTGCGGCTGCCGCGGGGTTGCCCGTTGAGGCTGGATGATTTCCCCTGTGCGACAATGGCGGCGCTGGCGTTGGAGGTGCGGTTTGGGGGCACGTCTTCGGTTGTGTAGTGCCGCCGTTGGCAGTCATTGCATGAGGCCGTGATGGCCAGGCTATTCCCTGCGCCTACGGGCAGGGGTGGATGGTTCCGCTCAGGTGGGCCTACGTTGCTGCTTCATCACTCCCCCCCGTCCCATATCCGAGTTCTTATTACAATGAATACCATCTTTTCATTTTTTACAATATTCGTCTCTATGCGTAGTCACTCAGCTGCGGTAAGTTGTCTGGGCGACCTTTTCGCTGAGTCAAATCCTTCTTTGGAGCTCAGTTACTTATGTCATCGACAGCAGCGATACGGCTGGCTGGAATGCGTCTAGGGCTCTCGTTCCGTCTGCATCCGAGTACCCAACTAGATAGCCAACACTGCCTCCAGCCACCCTCAAGATAATACTGTGTTTCAACAACGCATTGCATATCCAGGCATCAACTTACATCTGCACCTATAAGATACCAGCATTTCCTGATTACCCTGGTAAACAAAGTTCCCCGCCCCACCAGTGCCGATCTGCAACAGCGGGTTCGTACTCGTACTCGGCACCGTTTTGAGCATCGCTTACCGCCATCAGCTCATGCGCGACAACCATGAAACTGCATTGTAACAGGCCCAAGACTATTGGCGCATCCAATTCGTTGCCTTGTTTGGGATACCCTTTCATGATCTGAATGGCATGTACTGACCAGTGACTGCATCATCATTGCGAATGGTAAGCTCCAGGCTGAAACAGAGCCTGGGTGGATAAATACCCTGCTCTCCCTCTGCCTCTTGCTATATGTCCTCCTGGACAATCCATCAACACTGCAACAAAACAGTCACCACCATGAAGCTCGCCCTTCCCCTCACTCTCCTGCTAGGCCTCGCCAGCGCCCATCCCCACTACGGGGCGGCAGACATCTCCCACTGGCAACCAGCCGGAGCAGACGACTGTACGCCGCTCCCCAACCCAGCCACCAGCTAACCACTGGCATCCGACTGACAACAACCACAATGGAAAACAGATCGCGGCCCCTGCCCAATGATGAACACCCTCGCAAACCACCACCTCCTGCCGCACGACGGCCGCAACATCACGCGCCCTCGCCTGATCGAGGCCCTAGGCGCCGCGTTGAACTTCACCTCCTCGCTCGCCACGCTCATGTTCGAGATGGCCATTTTCGTGAACCCCGAGCCCAACGCGAGCTACTTTACCCTGTAAGCCACCGATATCCCCCGTACCACACCCACTAACATTGCGCTGCAAAACAAGGGACCAACTCAACCAGCACAACATCCTCGAACACGACGCAAGTCTCAGGTCAGCATAAACCCCTCCCTACACCCCCAAGTCAACCTTCCATTCCATTAACAAGTTACCAGTCGAAGCGACGCCTACTTCGGCAACAACCACATCTTCAACGCGACCATCTTCGCCCAAACCCGGAAGTACTGGACGGACCCCACCCTCGACGCCGCCATGCTGGCCAACGGCAAGCTGGCGCGGCAGGTCGAGTCCAAGGCGTTCAACCCGACGTACACGTTCACGGCCCGAACCGAGGAGTTCAGTTTGGGCGAGGTGGCGGCTCCCATTATCGCGTTCGGGGATATGGAGACGGGTCGGGTGAATCGCTCGCTGGTGGAGTATTTCTTTGGTATGTTGCTCTTGCATTTTGGGTTCGGGGGGGAATAGGGTGTCATTGTGCTAACAGGGCACTGCACTGGGTAGAGCATGAACGGTTGCCGGTTGAGTTGGGATGGCACACCCGAGGAGCGGCGGTGGGTGTGGAGGCGGTGAATGCGGTGGCGGAGATGATACGGAATGCGACGGGGTTGATTACACCGTCGGATGTAGCGGTGGGGTCGGGAAAGAGGAGGGATTTGCATTCTGGGTGGCGGGGTTAGCTCTTCGTATCTTCAGGCTGGGGAGTGGAAGGTGAAAGGTGGTCGGAAATGTTGTAGCAGATATTTGGAAGAAGAAAAGGGTGCTTGTGAGCATGGGGGTAGTTTGTCTACTGAAACTAGAACCAAACAAGAAGAGATGTGTCTACTGTATAAGCTACCTAAGTCAACCGCTTATCTACTAACTAGCCGTCCACCTCATGATTCGTTCTCACCTGCGCACTATCAGCCTAGCAGTGAACTATCACATCTACCCATTTACCCAACCGGCACTGAACCCAGCACTGAAACCAGCACTGAACCCAGCACTAACCACCAATAATAACCACCCTCGGCACCTCAGCTGTGCCTGCGACCCCTGAAATCTCCCCGAAACAAACTACTTTCCCAAAATGTCCACCCTCTTCCGAAAAGGAATAGCGGAATGGACCCCTGCACCCCGCCAAGCCACCGTCCGCTTGGCCTCCCTTGGCGCTCCGCCACCTCACCCCGCCAAACCCTTCCTCTGACTCGTCCACTCCCGCGATCACGAGCTATCTAACTCATTGCAGATACAGGTGCGCCTGCCACACCACCGATCTAATCCCACCAGGGCAAGGTTTGGATGCCACCAGTGGGAGACAGTAGGTACGGCCCGTGAAATTTGAGGAGCCAACCAGAGGAAGCTGCGCGCTGTACAGTACCCATGATCGTCTAGAGTGTGGGTGATGTGATGGGTCGAATGAAATACGAGGCGGTGGTGTTGGGCTCGTGATTCGGGGGATGGCTTCAGCTTCAGCTTGGCGATGCGAGGCGTCGTCCTCGGGAATGGAGATGAGGAGGTATAAATTCACCTCTTTCTTCCCAGTTGGGAATAGGTGAGCATACGAATCCGCTCTCGTGGATGCGGTTGTTGGTTTTCTTAGTGCTGGTGCTGTGTTTGGTGCTTCGGGTATCTGTTCGATTTGAGTTGGAGGGGTTCTGTGAGCTGGTTGAGTGGCACCTGTAGGGTTTTACTTATGTACTGTACCCCTCGAGATAGTTTAGCCGGGCGGGCTGGTGCACCGCTTCGTCAGAGGTGGACAATGTTTGATACACGAATAGCGGATGGTTTGGAATGTCCCTACCCGCTTCTCTACACTATTCGCAGCCAGTCAATCTTGATCACAGGAAGATGTATCACACCAGACCTTCTAATTATTTTCTAGGATTATAGAATAAAGATTCAACTACTAATATACACTCCACCAAAGCAGATTATACCTTGCCCCCCCTTAAGCCCCATCACCTGCACCCGCACAAAAACCACAGCAATTAACCATGGTAAGAATCTAGCAAGAAGCGCCGCTGGGGACGTTCTTGCAAGACTTCTTGTCCTTACCACCGGAGATATCAACGCCCTTCCAGGTCCAGTCAGCGCAGGAGCCGGAACCGCACAGGATGTAGACAGGCTGGGCGGAGCTCTTGACGGAGCCGGTGACCTTGTTGATGGTGACATCCTTAATGGGGATGCTGTTGGAGGGGGTGCCGGTAGGAGAACCGTTCTCGTAGTCCTGCTCGATGACGATGCCGTACTTGGCAATGTTCTCGAGCTGGATGTTGTCGTAGGTGATGTCGGTGACGGAGCCGGTCTTCTTGTAGATGGTCTTGATGCGGACGCCGTTGTCGGAGTTGACGACGTGGCTGTTGGTGATGTGCACGCCCTTGACGACGTTGTTGTCGCGGCCGCCGACGGAGCCGATCGACAGGCCGTGGCCGCCGGAGCAGTAGCCGCTGTCGAAGTAGATGTTCTGGTGTCGTTAGTTTTTTTTTCCAAAGAATAAACGAAAGGGGGGCCCACCTCGCCGGAGTTGATGGCCAGGCAGTCGTCCTGGTTGTAGACCTTGGCGCCGCTGATGTAGACGCCGTTGGACTCGCTGATGTCGAAGGCGTCGGTGTTGTGGCCGCCCTTGCTGTCGCCGGCCGAGTTGTCGATGGTCACGCCCTCGATGTGCACGTCGTTGCCCTGCACCGAAATCGCCTGCACCGGCGTGTTCTTGATGTGCAGGTTCTTGACGTACGAGCTCTGCAGCTTGTGCGCGTACATGAACTTGGGCTTGGTCTTGCCGCCGTTCGTGCCCTTGCTGTCCCACCAGCGCTCACCCTGGGCGTCGATCACGGCGCCCGAGGCAGCAGTGAAAGTGACGCCCTCACCGCCGAGGCGGATGAGGGGGCCCTTCCACTCCTTGTAGCCGAAGGTGGTGGTGCCCTCGAAGGTGACCTTTCACACAGTCAGTAAAGGGGGCTGGCACATTGGAGTGGAGGAACATACGGTGGAGCCCTTCTTGGCACCGGACAGATCAAGGGTCTGGCCGGCGGGGACCTTGATGTTCTTGAGGATCGAGCTGGAGCACTTCTTGACACCGGCCTTGGCGGAGGCAGCATCGGTGAAGGTGCAGGAGGATCTCTCGACGAGATCTCTCTCAGCAACATCGTGGGGGGCAGGGGCCGCAACGGCGAGGGAGCCGAGAGCGGCCAGGGTGAGGAGATCGAAACGCATGGTGGATTAGTTTTTTATTCTGATCAACAGAAATCGGAGTGAAAGAAAGAATGACTGAAGGTCTGATCTGATCAACAGAAAGGAAAGAGTGAATGAGAGTGAGAGAGAGTGTGTGATGAGAGTAGTGGAAGACCGGGTTTTTCGTGAAGCTTTATAGTAAAGACGTATGATGGTAGGGTCCCCCAGGGCCAGGGGATGATATCCGCACCTCCACCAGTGGTGTCAGTCTCTAACGGTGGCGTGAAGAACGAACCCTGCTTCAGGAGACGGTTCCTGAGGACAACTGCCTGCATTGCCGGAGTTCCTGCGGTGGAGGAAGCTCGGCAGCTTCGTCGCAGCTTCACTTTCCCGCTCCACAGTGGAGCAAGCCAAGAGCTAGCTCCTCAAACGGTCTGCTCCCAAGCCCAGTGAAATCTCAGGTGATTTGTCAGGTTTCGAGCTGAAATCATTCCCAGGCAATTTTTAATGCTGGGCCTTCATGTGCTGTTCCTTCACATCACCTAATTTCGAATCTTCGAATGTTCCATGCCTGGTTCTGAGGGAAGAATCGAACGAACAACCCCGATCTCCCAGCATGGTGATGCATCAATCGTTTGAACCATGATATCACCTCCCAAAATTCTCTAGATGCAGTGAAGTCAACAGCCGAACCCCATCTCGGCAACAATAAACATCTAGGCAGCAGCAGCAGCAGCAGCAGCCCCCCGGGCCCTCCTCGGCTAACTCCAATCTAGGGCAACAAATTAAACCAGGGTCCGGGCGGTGTGTGTGCAATTTCCGCGGCCCCTCCCCAAGCCTGCCCAAGCCTGCCCAAGCCTCCCCCAAGCCACTAAAAAGCTTGTCTCGGCGCGATGGTCGGGAAACCTGCTTCTTCGGGGTTTCTTCCAGCTTGGCCCTGCAGGCACGGGCCCCACACGCACCTGAAAATCCGGGTATTTCGGACCAGCGCCCAGGACCCCTGATTCATTTGGCCCGCCAGGGTGCCAGAGAGAGAACTTTTTGGTTCGAGGTGGACGGTCCGATCGCCGGATCATCCGGAAGGGTTCACATTTCACCAATGCCCGCCCGCGGGTTCCGGGCTACGGGTATGATCCGTCTGCTTGCTCCAAGCTCTGGAAAATCCTCTCCCATCTCAGCGGCACACTGTACCCAAAGATCTGCCCGATGAGTATTCCACTGGTGAAAGCAACTTTCCGTCGCCGGTTCTGATAAAATGTAAGACTTGCCCAGAAACCCCGTCCCACGCATCAGCAGCACCAAGCCTTGCAAGGTTCCCATCCCACCCTTCAGCCGGACCCAGACAACCACTCATAACAGCCGTCGATATAAGGTTATCCAACCTAGTTCGCTTTCGGGAAATACACAACGAGCAAACAACCGGCAGTGAAATTTGGGGAATTACACCAGAGACAACCGGCGGTGAATGGGCAAAATAGATTAAAGGGAGACGATTTAGATTAATTCCCCCATCCCCCCCTCCAATCCCCTTTCCCCCTCACTATCAGTTTTGGTGACTGCAGCCAGGCGATTCGCTTGGCTAAGACAGCACCGCACCAGCATCGGAAGTGCCGTGGCCCGTGGCCCGTGGCTCTTCTCGTGCTCCTCGACACGAGTGAGTTGGAACTAACCCATTCCAAATCCTGGGTAATTTAAGTAACCTTAGGATGAGACATCTAACGGTATTTGGCAGTAGTTTGGGGCGGGTTGTTCTGAATAGCATGTTGTGGCAGGTTGCAATGCCAAGGTTTCTGGACTCTGGACTCTGGACCTTGTGGGTTTGTTGTGGGTGTGGGTGTGGTTGGCTCGGGTGATGCGCTAGGCGACTGTTACGATGACAGCAGATGCATGCATGATTTCTGAATAGAACTTGGAGACGTCGAGGGTACCCCTTGTCGCACGCAGATAAGCAGGGCCTCAAGGATACGCTGAGCAGCCCCGTCTCCTGCTGTTTTCTTTCTCGGGAATTTTTCCTCCGATAGGACAAAACCGTCCTCCGGTAATGCATCTCAGCTCCGTCGGCACCTGACTGCATGCAAAGGGTCAACACAGGAGCGTAATCTTGTTGTGCCCGGGATTTCCAAACTGAACAGCTTTCCCATTCCTACAATCCGACAGGAACACAGCGGCCTACGTCACATCTTTGGCGAAGGCGCAGGAGCTATATGATTGAAGACCATACGTCCGACGTCCCCAGCAGATCCTTTGAATCATTGTCATTACATTTGAACTAAGTATAATTGGTATTCAGAAGTCCGCTTTCCAGGCAAGAATACAGGAAACGAGACCGAGCATTTCGCCTCCGCACATTTTCGGTGAAGGAAGGTCCGATTGTCCGATTCCAAGGCCTTCAAGGACTGTTGAGCCGTCCAAAGGATAGGACAGCTGTGCGGGTGATGCTGTGTACAGTCGGGAGGGGTTACGTTGACTGCAAGTACCTCCTCAATAATTATCGTGGCGGATCAGATTTCAGATTTGTTGTCCATGAGTGGATGGAAAGAGCCCGGAATCCTTGTTCAGGACATGGTATGGTCGGCGGCTAACCCAATTGCGCCATGTGCTCGACTCAGAAGGGGAGCAGCTTTCGTCTTAGGCTCGGTCGGACTCGACCCCTCAAGTCTACAGGGAGATTCCGACCCCAGGAACCGTTTGACGCGCCTGAGAATTCGATGCTGTGCAGGTCAATCAAGACACTCTATCTCGAGAGGGTGAAATTGAGGCCTGGAGAAGCTGCAGAGGATCCATTGCAACCTCACCCCTTCGGCTGATCCATCAGCTGCGTCACTTTCTTTAAAGACACCGGCTTCGTGACAAAGACGTCCACGCCAGCGGCGTAGGCTTTTGCAACGTCGTCATTTGACCCCAGACCAGTGAGCGCAATGATCTTCGCCGGTGGTGAAGTTTTACGTTCTTTCTCAATCATGCGGATCGCTTTGGTGGCCTCGAAACCATCCATGATGGGCATTGAAATGTCTACTCAGGTTAGAGCTGCTTGCAGGGATAGGACTGAAAGTACAAAGGTAGGAAACTAACCCATAAAAATATACTGGTAGCCCTCGGGCATTCCTTCGACCGCGTCGACGGCCTCTTTGCCGTTGATGGCCTCGTGCACAACAAGGGGCTGTCGCCGGCTGACAATGCGGTTGAGAAGCGACATGTTAACTGGGTTGTCTTCGACTAGAAGCACCCGGGGTATGTCTTCGGATGGGCCGGGAGGGGTAGGGATTTGCCCGCTAGAACTTCCATTTTGGTGTGCTTGCGTATCTATTTTTGGCAGTGCGGTGGATGGAGATTCGACATTTGGCTTTAATGGTAGTTCAGCGGGTTTAGTGATGGGAATGATTGCTGCCGGACGCAGAGGGAGGCTTCGATCAGGGCCCTGGTCAGCAGATACCTCATTCCCATTTTGTACGCCATTTTCAGACGCAATCTGTGGTGAGACGCCCTCCACCCCCAGATGCTGAGGTGTTGCTTGCAAACAACTCTGGATCGTTCTGGCCAAGCGGTAGGGACCACACGGAAGGCTCAACCACTCGACCCGGGCGCGAAGCTGACTCAGCTCGGGAGGTTTCGAATGCGTAGCACGCCTATCGCGGTGCAGAATGAGCAACGTGGATGATTCGTTCAACCCATTGATGCGGTGCAACTCCGTCTCATCGACAATCACGAGGTCCGCGGCAACAGCAGGTGACCACGGCTGGAGTGATATGCCATACCATTGCGTTAAGTACCTGGCAATAGTACTAGCGGAAGCGGCACCATCGGGCTGAACGAAGCACACTGTCTTCCCTGCCAGTTCCTGCTTCACGCCATCAATGAGACCTTCTGAGGGGGTGAGGAGCGGGTCATCAAGCACTGTCGCGCTCTCTACACATTCTTTCTCAGGCCGCGTAAGGGGAATCGAGACCTTGACAACCGTTCCGGCCCCAAGCTGACTCTTGATTTTGATATTGCCTTTCAAAGACCGGACGATGCTGTTGACGAGAGACAAACCGAGGCCCGTGCCAGGAGACAGAGGATCCTCTTGCATGAAAGGTGTGAACAGGTGATATCGAAGGTAGTCAGTGGAGATGCCACGACCGGTATCGGATACAGTCAGAAGCAAAGTATCAGCCCCATCGCGAGGCGCGCTTTTACTATCCTTCTGTATCTCCATGTGTACAGAGATGGATCCCGTGGCAGTGTACTTCAGTGCGTTCCCAAAAACATTCATGACAATACGTCGCAAGGCCCCTGGCTCCAAAACAAAAACCCAGTCATTCATACCGACATCCAGAGTGATATCGACGTGCTCAGAGTTGCCACTGTAGCTTTCCCCTAGGGGGGAAGATGGCTTCGAAGTTGAAGAATCACCAGCACGAGTAACATTGAGATGATTGGCGCCCGCGCAGATACTTTCGATCGCGTCCTCAACGATTGTCACAATGTCCACAACTTTCAGGATATACAATGAGCGTGGGCCGGATTGCGCAGCGACAGAGTCTCTACCATCTTGCAACAGTGATGAACCGGCCATCCGCGCCTTCCGCTTGAATGAATTGATTTTGCTGAAATCAAGGATCTGCTCGAACGTATCCAGCAGAGTTTGACTGCACGCTCGAATAGTGTCCAGAAGCAGCCGAGCTGAGCTGGATAGCGTTTGTTCCGCAAGGAACTCCACTGCGGCTAGAATCCCATGCAGGGGACTCCGAAGCTCATGCCTGTTTCCCTTTTAATCAGTCCAACAGTCACACTGTGAAAGCAAGTAAAAACACTCACGAAATACTGCTGATGAAGTCTCCTTTCTTCTTGTCGGCTTCTTGACTCCGGATACGACTGTCCTCCGTCATCAATGAGGAACAGAACCCGAGCACGCCACCCAGTTCTACATGGGGGCTGAAAATCCGAGTCTCCACGGAGCTCCAGCAGAAGCAACCGCCAAACCAACGCGAGTTTGATGCATCCCACAGGGGAGCGAAGATAATGCGCGTGGCGTTCGGGAAGTAGGTCTGCAGGAGATCCAAGTCCCTTCCGTTCAGCGTGTCCCGATCCCGCGGATGTAGTAATGACGGTAACTGAAAGGCAGGCTGATTGCTGGTCTGCGAGGACGTTTCCTCGTCAGACGAAAAGGCCGTTCCATCGCGATGGAAATACCACAGGGCTCCTTTGCCGAAACGCTGCATCATCCGCCGTAGAAAGTGCCGACTTATTTGCTTTGCAGACGTAGCGTTTGACTCATTTCCCCACGACTCGTCGTGGGCATTACGGGTCGAGATAGCCCAAGTAGTAGCGGCGGACCGTGACCCGGTGGTTGTGTCTTCTAGCAATCCTTCGTCTTCGTCACCGTCGAACCTGTCCTTGACAGCGAAAATTGCGACCCCTCCGTCATCCCCAAGGGTTAAGCTTTCACGCATGAGGTCTGCAGCACGCTGAAATGCCTCGTGTCTTTTCCCGGACGACGATGCATGAGATTTAATGGCAGGTCGATTAGACGGAGCCTGCTGTTTCGTGGGGCTTGACGGTACAGAATCGGAAGAAGAGAAGTTATTGTTCTGTGTCGGGCTTATGTTCTTGACAGGTGACTTTGTACTTCGGGAGGTAAGCTTCGGGTCGATCTCGAGGGGTGAAACAGGCCGGGGGCTGGGAGTACGCGATCGGTCAAGGTCGGAAGGGCTGGCGCTTCGTGGAATGGCGGAGGCTGGAGATTCTTCTTTGCCTTGGTCTTGGACAAACGAGTTGAGCCCCGACAAGACTTTCATCAAACGAGCGCTTTCGAGTGACTGCCGCGAGGTTTCCAGGTACTCCATCACTCCGGTGGCTATGACGCCCAGGCTCTCCTTATGGGCAGCCGTCAAGGACAGATTGGGCCTCGGATCGATGACATATAAGCTACCAATGTTGATACCACTGCTGGTCATCAGGGGTGTGCCAGCATAGTAGCGGAAAAACGGAGAACCGGACACGCAGGGTATTTGGCAGAAATTGGGATGTTGTTGCAAATCTTTCACGACGAAGAAGGGGTATTTATCCGCAGTGGTTGGCGACAGGGTAATTGTTTTCTAACACCGATCAGTCAGGTTGTCTAAGCCAGGCGAATCGGATTCGCAGGAGTAGCTACCTCGCATAGGGTGCCAGCAACAGGACCTCGGGAGCAGCCCATCCAGAGTCCATCGCCATCATCTTCATAAAGTGTATTATCCCCGAGGTTTAGCGAGCGTGATGCCTCGGCCACCACATATAGCGTTTCGCGATCGATCAAGCTGGGAACAATTTAGCGGTGGAAACCCATATGAAGCCGGGCTTGTGTGAAGAGGTCGTAGCGCGATCACGCGCACCGCCATCATGTTGAAGCGAGGAAAGATCATGAACAACGTACCTGATGATCGCACGCTGGACGCCTACTTTGACCGCGGCTAACTGGGCCAAGGCAGTAAGGACGAGATTTGGGCTGGCTCTAGCATAGGCACAGGTCGAGCCGTGTGGATCGGTGCCCTGAGAAGCAGGGAGCAAAGCAGGGTTGTCCGGCTGAAAGTAATGAAACAACTCCCTGGCGCGACGATCCGCTTCGTGTTCTTCCTGCTGGGAAGCCGGAGAGGCTACGTCCTCCATCGCGTCAACACCTCGGGGGCTTGTCAACCTGCAGGTTAGATGCGGTGTTTCCTGTCTGCTGTCCGTCTCGTGAGACCTCTGTTCCGTTCAGTCCATGTTGCTCAGTATCCTCAATCTGACAATAGAAGTAGAACCCAGAAAAGAAATGCTGATGGGATGTTAAGGAAAGTCACCATGTGTGGGGCGTGGGATAATAATGAAATGCGTTTCCCCCGACTTCCCGAAGTTTTCGCCTTCAATGCAGCGTCCGGCGGCAATTGCGTCACATGTGCACCCGCAGAGTGTGGCTTGACCCAATCGGGTCAAGCTTGGGGTCTAGACCGTTGCGCCTGTCCGTCTACCTTGACCACCGCCTTCCACATTGAGGCTGTGCTGCGGGTCCCTGCAAGGACCAAAATCGACAGATCTTTCTGCAGATCGAGATTCCTACATTTCCGAAGGTGGCGGTCTACTCATATTATCGATTGGGATTGTTGTTCTGCACTTGAAAGGTGTTTACGGAGGTTTGAAAGGTTAAGTAGCGGAGATCTAGCCACCTACCTCATACTCGTAGGTTCTGGTCTGGTAGGTACCACATTATCCTGAATATTCGTCGCACTACTAATACCGTAAATTGGTCGAGCTTCTAGAATCTAGACCAATCGTGCATATAAGCTTAATGTATGGTAAGCGGTGAGGGGGAGAAAGCTCTCTCCACTCTTCCAGAAAACAGACGGCTAGAAGGAATGGAGATTCCGCACCACGGGACAGCTGAGCCTCGTGTACCTCGCCCCTTTCGATCCAATACAGAAACCATTTCACTGTACTCAGGTATCTTTCCATGGTCAACGCTGATCGATCCTAATGGGACCATACTCCGGAGGCCATTGATACCTGACATCTTCATACGACCAATAAAACACCGTCGCTTCGAATGGCAGACAAGCCTCCTCCGCCGGCCTAGCTCGCAGCGTTAGTGTGGGGCGATTTATCCCGATCTGGCCTCTCCCTCTCTTTCGCAAGTCGATTTTTTTTGGCCGAGAGAGGCCGAGAGCATGTCACCTGCACTTTTCGAACTGCCTGTAAGTCCGCCGTTTTTCGAAAACGTCTGGTCGATTGTAAGTCCAGTGCGGCTGAGTGGCTCTCATCCGCAGACGATTGACCACAATCAAAGGTTAATAAGGACAGCTAGAACTTGGTTCAACGGCTCGCAGACTTCGACCGACGCTGCGACAGGCCAGTCGGGCCCGAACATGAACCCTAGGGTACTTTTCCTGTAACACCCATGGGTTGCATCAATTATATACAATTCGAAGGTGGAAGTTGTTTCGGGTGGTCGATGTAATTATACTTTAATGATTAAAGACACTGCAAGAACGCTGAAGAACGCCAGATCCAGAAGCTAATAGTCCGATTGTGAACCGCCGTCTGGGAGACCGTTCGGAAGGCCGTTCGGAAGCTGGGAAGCATTGCCCTCGTCCGCCGGGCCTTGCAATGTCTGAACCATGTGTGCTTGGTGTTGTTCCATCTCAAAGAAAGAGCTCATGGCGTCGCAGTTCCTAGACGGCCGACCCGAGGCCTTGCAGTTGCCGCAGATGCCCTGGAACGTCAGGGGATCAGGCACATGGAGGCACATGGGGAACGTGCGCTGGGAACGATTGTTCCTACAACAATTGCAGGGCTGCACCGGTGGGACGCCTCTCGATTGGATGAGAATGGCCTCGATGATCGGCCGGTCGCCGATGTTGCGTGCAGTAATGCAGCCGCTGCGGAACTCCACGTCTGCCCCCTCCATTCGAAGCAACCGCTCGCCCACACCCCGCACCCTTGCGCCTATATGACGCCGAATTTCATCCTCGTAGAGGATGGGACTACGCCCCGCCGCCGAGTTAGCGTCAATCCGCTCGAAAATCGCTTGGATGGCGCTGTGGCTCGGAGGTCTTGTATACGATGACATTCTGGTGAGTGTGCGTCCTAGGACTGGTGGTTCTTGTGACCATGAGAAGGCTTGCAGAGTATAAGGACGGTAATGAGTAGGTGACAAAGCGCAGCGGGTCCGATCCTTGTATAGACAGAACTTGAGAAGGAAAAACGCCTTGGTGACAAAGGCCCTCCAAACGCAAAGTATTGTTTCCTCGAAAGCAAGAAGAGCCGCGAAGATGCCACGATAACCCGGCAGTTCTCATCGACGCATATCTCGGAGTCGGGCAAGAGTCATTGATGAAGAAGGTGGGTGGCCAGAAACGGCGGGTTTCCACTTTTGACGGGGGTAGAAGACAATAGGGCTGTTGGGTGGTGCCTATCAAGAGAGATAAGACGCTTCGATACTGCGATTCCTCGGTCTTGTTTCTTTGTCCTTGTGCTCGACGATAAAGACTGACGTGTGAAAGTACGTGAGTACTCCATCTTTCTGTTTCGAGTTAACAAGGCTATGACGGGTTCGAAGGAGAAGAAAGGGAAAGAGCCCTGCAATGGGGTACATTCGGCTATTCCTGTTCAACCATGCCATCAGCGACTCACCTGCAGCCCAATGGTACCATCTTCTCTCGTCAGAAGGAAACTCAATCCAGCAATGCTCCTTCAAGCCCATCAAAACCGCAGACCCATACCCTTCTCCTGCAGCAACCGCTGCAGCGACCGCTTGGTGATCGCATTTCCCACCGCCTCCAGCAGCTCCGCACTCTTGACGGCGGGATCGGCCTCGACCATCGCCCGGATCAGCGCCCGCTGGTCTTCGGAGAGCTTCTTGGGTCGACCAGGCCGTGGTCGGGTAACGCAGTTCACGCGGTCCTTTTCCTTGCGGATGGTGTATTTGATGCCGCTCAGCGACAGCTCGGGGTGCACTCGGGAGATCTTCCGTGCGCCCCAGCCGATGGAGTGGAGCTCGCAGATACGGGAGCGGAGCTGTGGGGTGATTTCTTTGCCGCGGGTCATTGTAGGATGTCACGGGTCAGGGGGTGCTTTTTTGAGTCGGCTGCAGCGTATGAGTACACTGTTGAGGTAGAGTTAAGAAAGATCAGGGATCGAGGTTGGGTCAGTTTGTTGTTGGTGTTTTGTCTTGTTTTCATCGAACGCGGGGTCACGTGCCTGCTTTGATCTGTGACGCGGGACGTGATGGGATTGTTGATGGCACACTAAAACAGACACCTGAAGATTTAGGCGGCCATACTGCATTCGAACTACTAAGTTAATCTATCTCCACTGCATAGTATATACCTCGTCTCTTGACTTCTAAGATACCCACGAATAGTCTAAAAGTATATCCAGATATAGCATGCAACCCTCACCCTCCCCATGAAATCATACCAACGAACCCTTCACAATCTCGCCACATTCATCCCCATTGCCCAGACCAACAACGGATCCTCGAGGAACCGCTCCATGTCCTCCCTTTCCATCGACACTCGGAACTCCCAGGGAGCCATTCTGGTAGGCGCCGGCAACACCCAGCACTGCCCATTTGTCCGATTGTCAAGGGTCTCTAAGCGCACGATGTTCCCTAGCTTTTTCCCGAAATTGAGTCCGGCTGTGTTCAGTAAGCGCATGTTGCTGTAGAGGAATTGTCCTTCGCTTGGATAGTAGGACTGCCAGTCGCTGCTGTTATGCTTCTCCCGAACTAGCCCTCGTATGTATTCTTCATCCACTCCGACGCCCGCCTTAAAAGCACGAAAGGTGAGGTCCGCGAGCAAGGCGAGGTCATACCTGCTGAGGCCTGGAACCTGGCGGTACATCTCAGGGGAAGTGTGCTGGGAATCAGTGGCGGTGGCCTTGGCAGGAGAGTTAACGGCGGGAGAAAGGGGTGCGGATGCGGCGACAGGGGCCACGGCATCCCCGATGTAGTTCAGCGGGAGTACGCCTCTCTGGCGAAGCTCAATCATCAGTATGATGGAAGTTTCGTCCGGTCGAGATGCGGGCTCAAGTCGGTGGTATCGAGACCGCGCCCAGCAGAGCCACATCAAGGCTGCAGCTACGTCACTATCGGAGAATATTGGGGGTACTTGCGAAACACTTGGGTCGCCATCTGTAGCCAGTGAACTTAAAAGGTCTGTCGTGATGGTTTGACAGGCCTCTCTGAGACGACCCATCACCTCGAAAGGGACTGTCACGAGCTGGCACGGAATTCTGCCCACGGTCACGTCTAGAGCTGTGTTCACGCTGGGGAAGATGTCAACCCGTCTGATTCCTGACGTGGCTTTCGTTTGTTCACCCATTGCAATGATCCTTTTGCGACACTCGGTGTCAACAGGCTGGAGTGCGATCTGGCGAGGGTGCTTCAAACCCCGACAACATGCAGAAAGAGCCTGAAGAATGATATATACGCCCATCGCATCGACGAACAAGTGGTGAAAGCAGATGCCGATCACTATCCCGTCCTCGAAAACATTGAGTTGCCAGCGAAGCCCGGGGGCGCGTTCCTGATTGACTGCATCCAGCGGGACGGGCCGGTATTTGGCTTGGCCTAAATCACTGCCTGTAACACGATGCGAGTGAACCGTCTTCTGGCGGTAGAAATACTCTTGAGCGTGCACACGTGTTTGGATAAGAGGATTATCCTTGAGACTGAATTCTGTCGGTGGTCGCAACTCAAACCTATTGGCCTTCCCTTCCGGTCGCGAGGATTGACACACATCACCCGCAAGGATGGGATTCTGTGTGATCAAGAACTCTAGCCCATCTTTCAGAATTGATGCGTCCTCAGCCGGCGATTTCGTCGCTAGATAAGGAAAACATGTCATATGAAGCCGGGGCAACAGATGATCTAGCGGAGTCAGCGGAAATGGGGTAAACGTTGGAGGGGCTAGTTCGCTGTTTTGGAGCATCTTGAAGATATCGACGAGGCGCAGGATGTCGAAAGATTGGGCTCAGAGAACTAGGAGAGTCAGATAATCATGAGAATGTACGGATTGCACCTTCCATGGATTTTATACCAAACCAATGCTCGAAACGTCATACTTCATTCACGAGGGGAAACAGCCCTTGCTTCCCTGTCACTCGGACAATGATTGTCCGATTCTTAATGTGGCACTCCTGACGCGACACTGCAGCCGAAACAAGATTCCTGCATTGACATGCAGCTGGAATGCTGTCTATTGTACAGAAATTTTATAGACTTGTGACTGGTGACGCTTATATTTCGACATCCTTGGCAAATGCACCTCGGACGAGAATCTCGCCGGATTGATACTATGGAGATTTTTTGAAGCAGGTTTGGGTACCTCCTTGAAGTCACACAGAGGCATCAGAAAAAGTATATAGTTTAACCGTAAGGAGAAGGAGAGATAAATGCCCCGACCAGTCAGGTCAGATGAGCCGAGAGTCGCATTTTTTAGACATGCAAATATTAAAAAAAGGCATCTCCAGCATCTGACCAAGGAAAATTTGTGCTCCAAACCAGTCTACAATCTGGCCTAAATAACGAATGATGTGAGTAGGCTGATTTGGTGTTGCTGCTGGCCAGCCGAGGCGGGCATATGTTTGTTGTGTTTGTCGTGGTCCGTGGGGCAGGCGGTCGCTTGTTTCTGCCGCTCGCTAAGAGGCCACGGCAGCATTTGAAAACCCTGCAAGAATAGCGGACTGATCTCGATAGGCCTCTCGTTCGAGGTATCGCCAACCGCCACTGCTAAGACAATGTAGTAGTGCTTGATAGGTCCTGTCTGTCTGATTATCTACTTGTCACTTGGATGCTCTAGGGATGGATTCATCTGTGCTATGTGATAATGTTGCGTTACGCCAGATTTATACCACCCTGGGAGTAACCAAGTAGCATACCGTCAATAGAGCCATTGAGCACGAACAAACATGTTGGCAGCTAATCTGATCGATCAAGGCATGTGCGAGAAGCCATGATATGATCGTGACCATTCTCTAGGATCTCGAGTGCTGGGGTTGCTCGAGTCTGCATTGCTGTCGCTGACGGGTAAGTTGCATAGGGTATTGTACTCCGAGTTCTTCAATGCATACATTCGGCATTGATGCTAACATCCTTTGCAGCGTCAACCCTATTCCTCGATGGACACACTTCGTGATTATACACTGGGCTTACCAGGGCATATATCTCACCTCGGCATACTGGAGATACGGCACAGTGGAGGCTGGATGGCTGTGCGCACCCCTGACCGACCCTCCGGTCGTCTTGTGCACACCAGGGGCCACAGGGGCCATAGCCAGGCTCTCTCGCCTGCAGTGGGCAGCCACTGCAAGCCGCCTGCGCCCAGGCTGCCGTCCTCAGGCATCCACTTTGGGTGCCTGAAATTCGTTAAGCCTGCTCCCCTATGCCCCCCCGTAACTATCTCCTTTCGAAACCAGTCACCGCAGATGGCCGAACGGCCAGAGGCTCATGTTCTCACGGTGTCACGTCGCTAGAGCCGGGATCTTCGGAGACCACGCTCGTTCGAATCTCGCTCAGACCACTATCTGTTCGAATTTGAAGTCGGTGCACGAGCCTTCCTAGTGGTACGGCCCCCGATTCAACTCGGGTGGTAGACAGGGTGTTAGCCAGCACCGCTGTCGCAAACGTACGGAGGCGGCATGGTTCATAATGGGATCGTTAACTATACTGGTCTGGCCCTTTTTTTACATCTGCTATATAATTTTGCTACTTCGGCCATGCATGAAGCTATACAGACTGCGCATCAGCACTCTGCAGAGGGTGACTGAGGCGTTGCACTGCGATCAGTTCATGATTGCGAGCGGTTCGATGCCCGGGGGGTCTGATCGACTGTTTGGGCCAGCCTGAAGCTATCCCGGACCCAATTCTCCTACAGAAGATGGTATACCAGATGCTGGGACGTGGATGAGCTAGGTAGTAGCCTCTTGATTGAAGCTATTCCAGTCCATGTCGTTCTCTCGTCCCATTGCCCTTCCGTAGTTTGGTGTCGAGCCCGCGGCGCGCAACTGCCCATTCCCCTACCATCACATCAACCCCTCCCATCCCGCTAGTCCCACCCCACCACTTCCCCTTCAAGATCTTCTGAAGCTATTCTCATTTCCAGCCAGCTAGCACCAAGTTGAAGTTATCCCCAATGTCAAACTACCACCCACCTCGTCCGTCGAGTTTCCATTCCCAGCCACAAAACAATTAGCCATGCTGCACATAATTAAAGCCACAATCTTTTACCAATTATTCTAGGAAGGCAACATAAAGTAATCAGCATCATCTAAATTACTTTTCCCTATCATAAAATGAATTGCATAAGAAAAGGACGGCTAGTACCTATGCTGTTCAGCGGACCAGGTCTTTCGTCCCTGCCTAGTCGCGGTCACGTGTACGCGCAAGGGACTTGCTTTACCTCATTCCTGTGCCCATGTCTCCCGCGACCGACCGACAGACTCAGCATATCTATCTTCAGGTCCCTCTCCCCCAAACGCGTCTTCAATTCTCGATTTTCGATCGAATTGATGTTTAGCTGACGTCTCGCGGTATGCAGTGCTTATCTTATCGGTTATCCCCACACCCCGCGTCATTGCGCCCGCATTCACGATAAGATAACCGTGTAAACCCTGCGTCACCACGGTTCGTCCCAGGGATCCATCCATCTGAAGTCGGATGATGACGACAAGGTTGCTGTGATGCGATCACTATCTCACAATGCGACCGTGCGATGTCGCGTTTTTGACCTTGCAAAGGTAGTGGTCGGCTTGTTTGCTCGCCAACGATGCGTCTCGCGTTTCAATGGCCAGAACTTCGTGTGCTCGGCCATTCTTATCGGAAAGTCTCTTGATGAGTTGTGATCGTTTTTTTGACAGTGATGTCTTCTGTCTTTAAGATAGGCCGTGCTCAGCGTCTGACCAGAAGGCAAATCCTGCGGTCGCATGGTTGCAGCTCGATGGGATTATCACGTTATCGTCACACCCACCCAATGCGAGTCCTTTCCGACTGCGGGCTCTCTATACCGGGATTCGCTTGTATGCACTTCGGAATTATCATGGGTGGATATTCTGCAGGTTTCTGAGACACATCGGTGTTGATTTTCTCTCGAGACGCGCACCTAGTCAGACGGCAACGATCCTCTGCAGCGTGGATAGGACTCGATGAACAGACAGACGATGTCTCGAGATTATCGCTTACCCTCCGCGGTAAGTTGTGGTGATATCAATTGTAGGGATAGATAGGCTAACATAAGCGACCGATGTCAAGTGGAGTCTAGACCAATTCTCGAAGCAGTATCTATAAGCTCACGCCTCGAACGAGATCAGAAGGTCGGCGCAGACATGCAACAGTCATCCAGCTCACGAAGCAATGAGAGAATACCCATGTTTGCCAATACCAGCTCTTTACAGACGCAGTCCAATACTTAAGGCATTGGGTGGCTGGATTTGAGAGGACAAATCGGCCACGCCCAAGGACTGTTAGGCTTTGCGCCTTGAATCTTGTTCATGCGACTATATAAGAGGAATTTAATTCGCGCCTGGATCGCGTATCCGCCCAATTCGTGGCTTTCTGGATTTCTACAAGGTAGGGCTTACTCCGAATGATCGGACTTGAATATGAGATTCTGAGAATGAAGCTGTGTATGCATCGGAGATGTCAGCTAATCACTGTGAAAGGAGCGTCTGAGTGAGTGGTTGGAGAAATTGCAGCGTGTCTCAGAAGCCAAGTATCATCAGCGCGGAGAATGACTGTCAATGTTCAGATTCGGTTATATTGATCCTCGAATAGCAAGAGTGTTCGCTACTCGGGGCCCATCTCGTGAGAAGTATGTCATCTTTCAAACGGGTCAAGGGATGAGGTTTGGTTAGGTGGATTTGTTACTTAATTCTGCGCGGATTGACTGCACAGCGGGAGGATCTTCGAGCGGAAGAAGTCGTACCAGCCGCACTGCCAACTTCATCCTTCCGTTGATTACTACTAAGCATCCTATAAGTTACCTCAATAAGCACTGCAGTTCTCACGGACAGCCATCGCCAGGTAAGCACTAACCATCGCTGACCAGTTACACATTTCTATCTCCATTTCTAATCAGATACTAACCGCAGATAAGAACTGGACACCTCTCCTCAACTCACCGCTATCCATAAAATGCATCCTTCTGGCTTCATACAGGATCTGCTCCGTCCTTTCCCACATACAGCCTCGCTATACCAGAAAACAATCGATAACGAATCGCACGACTGATTTGCCTACGACTGGTACAAGTCAAATCCGAAAATCGAAAAATGTCGTTCACAATCGCCCCCTGCACCCCCGCAGACTCCCCACAGATTGCCCGCGCCATCATGCTCGCCCGCCTGACAGACCCCCACTGGGTCTTCCTCTGGACCGACCCCAACCCAGCCCGCATCATCGCCGACGTCACCGCCCGCTTCCCCTTCTCCTTAGCCACTGGTCGCGACCGCAAACGCCACCAGATGGTCTCCTATACCGATGATTCCGGAGAGAAGACGGTGGTCGGGTACGCGCGGTGGATTGTCCCGGATTCAGTATTAAGCGTGGAGGACAAGACAGGGACGTTCTGGCCCGAGGCGCAGGTCCAGGCCGTGAGCGATGAAGAGCTTCAAGTGTTCAAGAAGAACTTCGATGCAGCCAGCGACGGGGGTCAAGTGCCGGGAATGAAGAAGGACGGGATGATGGAATTCCGGAGTCGGCCGTTGGAGGAGGCTGACGAGGCGATTACGCGTGGGGAGGAGTTTCTGAGTAAGTTCTTTTCTTTCCTTTCTATTTTACGTCGCTATACTTTGCATATCATGCTTTGTAGCTTTTCAGGGGATATGCCCCCTCCAATCTGCGGTATAGCTTGGCTTCCGAGGGGAAGGGGTAGATTCTCTGTCAATCACCAGGAACATGCTACTTGCGCCGTGATCTTATGGTGTATGCTCCGCATTACATTCATCAGCTAATGCAACCCGACCTTCCTAGCCCTGGACTACCTCTGCACCCACCCGGACTTCTGGCGCCGCGGCGTTGGAAGCATGCTCGTCGCCAGCGGGCTGCAGGTCGCCGACCGCCACGGCCTCCGCACGTATGTCATGTCCGAGCCCGCCGGGCTGAAGGTCTACCTGAAGCATGGGTTTAAGGTTGTCGAGACGGTCACCACGGATTATTCGCGATTCGGAGGCCAGGCGCCGCAGGTACTTTATTTTTTGGTGAGGGGGGTGAGGGGGGTTTAGTGCCAGTGGCTTATCTAGGTGATGTGGGGTGTTGTTGTGATAAGGGAGGGGGGAGGGGGGTTGGATTTTGTGTTTGTGGAGTGGATTGGTGGTTTCAGATTCTGGACTGGTTGTTGGCATGTTGAGGACGCTGGGATTGGATGTACTTGGTGCTATAGATGGACGATGATAATGGTAATGATGTGTGGGACTTGTCAATTGTGCTATTTAGATCTATACTCGAAGATAAGTTATCGGTGCTTATGGACTGGAAGAATACTCTGCGGAGTGTGTATTGGCAGCATTGGAGTTGCCACGATTTGTGCAGAGCGATATTTCAATTGTCTAGAATGAGGGTGGGGGAACCATGTTTTTGAATAATTTAACCTAGCTAGTCTCAGTATACCTAAAGAAATGTATGCAATTCAAGGCACTGTCGTATGTATAAGTCCATGTGCACAGCATCGAGAACGACCGCACCGGAAAACCATCGGAGGACGATCGGCAGCCCATTAGTGCCGAAGCGGTGGCAATCCCGAGAAAAGTTTGTGCAGTGTGCAGCGTGCACCAATCCCGACCATCAGGGACACACACGGCTGACATGACGTCAGGGCCTCCCGTCGAAGAAATTTCAGATCGTTCCACGGACAGAGGTGACGCAGAGCTTTCTAGAAGCTTAGCAGAATTAGATTGCACTACAGTGCAGTGCAATGTGGTGTGGTGCCCTGATGGGGCCAACCACGAGTTCTCGGTCGGGTGGCTGCGCGACCGTCAGCAGCTTATTATTCCTTAACTCCGTGGAGTGGGGCGTCAGCAAGTCGCCGTTTCAGACTACCGTCCAGATTACTGGACTAGTGTCTAGAAACTGGAGGCAGGGCCGCGTTTCCTTGGTTGATGACAGCATTTTCTCTGGTACTGCTCCAGAGCACTGCGGGAAGCGGACGCTCAAGGTCCAATGACGGTGCTATCCTGAATATTGCCGGGCCCAACGGAATTTGCTCAGTTCGACTTTTTTGATGGGTGACGATGAGGCAAAACCAAATGCACTTGCTGCTGACCGTCTGTAAGCAGCAGACGCCCGTCTCCAACGGACTTAGCACTGGATGACCTGAATCATGGGTGTGCCTCGGTCCAGCCATGCCCCTGGTGCCACGATGTGGCTCCCGCCTCATCCACATTGCCTGGAAGCCTGCAAGCCGGTTGACGGTCGTTCTCAGCAGATCTTCGGAGACAATTTGGCCCCACCACATGGCAAAACGACGCAGAGAGAATCAGCACCACTTTTCTGCTGAATTTCTAAGCAGTTCCCTGGGTTACCCCGACCTGGGTGGGAGGATGTAAATATAAATGCCAGCGAGGACCCGCGGGGAATCAAAAGTCCAGACAATCAGACAATCGTCATCTCACACATCTCATCACACCATTCGCAATGGCTTCCACCGATTACAAGTTTGAGGGCTGGATGGCTCTCGAGCCCAAGGCCGCCGAGGGCAACATGGTCTGGCAGGAGTTCGAGCCCAAGCCCTGGGAGGAGACCGATATCGACATCAAGATCACCCACTGCGGTATCTGCGGCTCTGACATGCACACCTTGAGAAGCGGCTGGGTATGTTCTCAGACTAGATCGAATGGGGTTTTCGTCTGCTAACCTGTTTAGGGTCCCACCAACTACCCTTGCTGTGTCGGTCACGAGATCGTCGGTGTTGCCGTCCGCGTTGGCTCCAAGGTCGAGGGCGGAATCAAGGTCGGAGACCGTGTCGGTGTTGGTGCTCAGAGCGAGTCCTGCATGGGCCGCAACGGCGACTGTGAGGCTTGTGCCTCTGGTCTCGAGCAGTACTGCCCCAAGTCCATGGTCGGCACGTACAACGGCGTGTACGCCAACGGCGGCAAGTCGTATGGTGGATATGCCACCTACAACCGGGTTCCTTCCCGGTTCGCTGTCAAGATCCCCGACGCCATCCCCTCCGCCGTCGCTGCTCCCATGCTTTGCGGTGGTATCACCACTTACTCCCCCCTGAAGCACTTCGGCTGCGGTCCCGGCAAGCGCGTCGGTATCATCGGTGTCGGTGGTCTCGGCCACTTCGGTATCATGTTCGCCAAGGCCCTCGGTGCTGACAAGGTCGTCGCTATCTCCCGCAAGGGCAACAAGAGAGAGGATGCTCTGAAGCTCGGAGCCGATGCCTACATCGCTACCGACGAGGACTCCGAGTGGGCCCAGAAGAACTCCCGCTCTCTCGACTTGATCATCTCCACCGTTTCTTCCTCCAAGGTATGTCTCTTCGCATCCATCTCGCGCACCACTGTCGAATAGATTGCTGACCTTCGTAGATGCCCATCACCGACTACGTCCAGCTGCTCGACCGCGACGGTGCTTTCGTTCAGCTCGGTGTCCCCGAGGATGGTTCCCTCTCTATCCCCGCCCCTGCTCTGATCTTCAAGCGCGTCAAGTTCAGCGGCTCCCTCATCGGCTCTCCTAGCGAGATCGGCGAGATGCTCCAGTTGGCCGCAGAGAAGAACGTCCGCACTTGGGTCGAGGAGCGTCCCATGAAGGATGCCAACACTGCCATCGTCGATATGGATGCTGGCAAGGCCAGATTCCGTTACGTTCTCTGCAACGAGCAGTAGATTGACGACTTCCGATGTTGTGTACATAGACCACCCATAGACTTAATGACTCGATGTGAATAGACATACCATTCATACACTGATTTCCTCGAAAGCGCGTACCGTAAACTGCACTCCGGTAATCGTGACGGTCTGCCCGTTTGTCCATTCCTGTGCGTCAGGAATGTCCTTCATCGATGGCAGTTGCTGCACTTCCGCACCGAGATTGTACTTGGTGCACCATCCTTCAGTGGCGTCCCACTCTTCCCTGAGGGCACTCACCTCCCCTCCATCCTTGACAACGGTTGTATTCGAACCAGCCGATCGAGAATGTCGCTGGACCTGCCGGAGAGCGAGATACGTCCCCCAGACCCGACCAATGAACGTCCGAGCCACATCGCCCTCCTCGCCCTCCTCAAGATCAGAACCAGTCTGCGACGACTCCAAGACCCACGAAACCCCCGTCGACGGGCCCTCAGGCTCCCGCCGGAACTCCAACTCCCGCCACACCTCCTCATACTCGCAAACAGGTTTGCCGGGTAGATCCGCCCGAGGCATTGACCCTTTCTCCAGGTCGTCCCCGTTCGGGAGCGTGGAGAATGTCCCACAGTCAACGTCATCGAAGGAGTTGCGGGAGTCGAGCTCGTGTGTGAATTGAACGCGGGCTGATAAGGTAGTCAGTCTCTTGCATTAAGGTGCATGACAGATAGAATGTATTGCATACTGGAATCATTTGAATCCACGACGCGTTGACCAGCAATGGCCCAGTCAATGGTTGTGGTGGCTTGGTCGATGCGGAGGTCGACGTACCACCCCGCTACGGACATGACGATTGTGTCGGTGTTTTCGAAGGCGGGGGCCGGGGGCCAGCGCAGGGAGATCCGCGTGGAGAGGCGGCTTTGAGAGGGGGGAGGGGGAGTAGTGGGTGACATTCTCGGAGAAGTGAAAGCTGATGAGATGGAAAGGTGGTAAAAGGTTCCGTCGGAATTCGGTCGAGGATTGCGTAGAGGGGTTGGTGAGGAAGAGAAGAGTACCTTGCTGGCGGATGATTTATCCCCGCTTGCTGCAGCTCTCCGATAAGCGGTGGTGGTTAGGCCCTTTTTGGCTTAGTGGATTCTGTTATTGCCGTTAAGTGATATCGTACCCGTCCGAAGGCGACTTACCTTACACGAACCTCCCTACGCGAACATGACTGAACATGTTAGACTGGTGATACCAATTATTGATTGAGTTCTTCATTGTACATCTCTGAGAGCCATCGAAGAAAGCATGCACACGTCGTACAACCGGGCCGGGGACCTGCAGCGCGCACAACACGACTCGCTGACTATATAAGCTATCCGCGCGACGATAACAATGAGATGGCGACCACGGATCGCTAGCAACGCGCTTCATGTGATATCATTGGAGCGGGGTCTACACATTTCTAAAATCTTTGAGAGAACAGCTTATTTTTCTTCTCCTTCTCAGTGAAGCTGCGAGAGTGACCGAGTACTTGCTGGACGGGCGGCGATTCAGTGTAAGCATTCATTTCTGGGAGCACTTTGTCTTCTTATTGACCCGAGACATGCCAGTAACAATCTGAAAGAATTCACCGTGACTGATATCGAATTGCCATCGGCAGCATTTCACGATGAATGATTCCATCCGGGTGTACAATGGGTGCGAGGGTGGTACCGAGTCAGGCAGATCAGGGACGACTGCAACAGTGTTTCAGCATCACGGGCTGTAGCCATCAGAAACTATCTGTACAGGCCATACAACACATGTTGAAGTGACCGTGATTCCCTTGTGGCTTCAAACTAAGGTAGTCGCCGCCCACTAAGCGTTTGTTCTTCTCTTCACACCGCGAGAAGTCTGCCTCCGGAAAGTCACGTTTGCAATTGCTATCCTCACCGAGCTAATTTGATCAGTTGGTCTAGAGACAGAATACGTTCAGAAGGAAAAACAACGAATAGGGAAAGCCAAAACAAATCAAAACAGCAACAATCACCAGACCCGAACATGGACTTCTATGATGATCACGGAAAACCATTGTTTTCAAAGGCTACCGATGAACATGATCAAGATGAATTGGCTGATCGATCAAACTCCTCGTGCCGCTGTCCGCCGATAGCTATTGTGGGTATGGCTTTGCGGCTTCCTGGAGGTGTGAGGACTACCGATGAATTCTGGGATATGCTCATTAACAAAAAGACTGGCCATTGTGAAATCCCTGGGAACAGATTCTCGGTTGATGCCTTCTACAGCGAGACACGAACTCATTCTGTTAGAACCAAACATGGATACTTCCTCCAAGAAGATCCTGCCGATTTTGATCCTGCTTTCTTCTCTGTCCCACTGCGCGAAGCTTCTCGAATGGACCCTCAGCAGCGAAAACTACTGGAAGTTGTGTGGGAGTGTTTGGAGAGCGCAGGAGAGACAAGTTGGCGAGGCAAAAATATCGGCTGCTACGTCGGGGTCTTTGGTGGTGACTGGCTTAGTCTAGCAGACAGAGACCCATTGGCAACTGATCGATACTATGCAATTGAAACAGGAGATTTCGCCTTGTCAAACAGAATATCCTACGAGTACGACTTTTGTGGACCGAGGTATGACCCCACAGCTATTGCAATAAATGGATTCTAGGGACACCTCTCTTCTTTTATGTTTTGATTCGTGTCCTGTTGTTCGCCGTAAATCTGGGGCTAATGAGAATGAACATCAGCATGACACTAGAAACAGGCTGTTCATCATCGATGACAGCATTACATGAGGCATGTCAAGCGCTTTGTTTGGGACACTGCTCGTCGGCTATTGTCGCCGGAACAAATTTGATCCTGTCGCCAACCATGATGACATCGATGTCGGAGAACCTGGTCATTTCACCGAGCGGAATGTGTCGCAGCTTCGATAATGCGGCTGATGGATACGGAAGGGGAGAGGCCGTAAACGCTATCTACATCAAAGTCTTGAGCGATGCTGTTAAAAACAATGATCCGATTCGAGCTGTGATTCGAGCGACAGCTACGAACAGTGACGGCAAAACACCGAATATCACTACTCCCGGTGTACATTCTCAACGAAGCCTTATAGAGACAACATACAGAAGAGCAGGTATTGCTAAGTTGTCAGACACTAGTTACTTCGAATGCCATGGCACAGGAACGCAGGTAGGCGATTCAGCCGAAGTCTCAGTTATCGCTCAATTATTTGGAAAGAACGGGATTAAAATAGGCTCGGTAAGTCCACTGACCTTCAATGAGAGGATAGAAAACCGATGCGACAAATTATAGGTCAAACCCAACGTGGGCCACTCAGAAGGGGCGTCCGGCATTACAAGCATTATCAAAAGTGTGCTGTCCTTGGAGAAAAGGGTTATCCCTCCAACCATTTGTCGGAGTCCAAATCGCGATATACCCTTCGAAGAAGGAAAGCTTCGTTTGCCCTCAGAACCAACGCCCTGGCCCCAGAGCTGCCAGGAAAGAATTAGTGTCAACTGTTTCGGGATTGGGGGATCAAATGTTCACGCAATAATTGACTCCTACTCCTCAACTGTCAAAGCTCGTGCCGACGAAACCACGCGAAGGGAGAATAGAGCCGAACTTTTGGTGTTGTCAGCAAGCAACGAAGACAGCTTGCAGGCTCGCATAGCCAGTTTCACAGAATTCGCAAACACAAATACTGCCACACTTTCAGATCTTGCTTATACCCTTCGAGACAGACGTGTACATTTGCCCAACCGGGCTTTTGTTATAGCACGTCCCAACGACTTTATCGATGCCTCTGCGTTTCAGATTTCTGAAGCGAAAGATCGCCTCACCATTCTTGCCTTTTCTGGACAAGGTGCTCAGTGGCCTGGGATGGGAAAGGCTTTGATGAGTCGATTTATAGATTTTCGGACTTCGATCGATGAGATGGACGGCATACTGCAGAGTCTGCCTGACAGGCCCGATTGGTCTTTAGCGGATGAGATAACTAACGAGCCTAACTCTCGTATTCACGAAGCACAGATATCGCAACCGTTATGCACTGCCTTCCAAATTGGACTATACCACGTGCTAGCGAACCTTGGCTTGAAAGCGTTATACGTGGTAGGGCATTCTAGCGGAGAAATAGCTGCGGCGTATGTGGCAGGAGCAATCACAATGAGATGCGCCATTATATTGGCATATTACCGCGGGGTAGCTGCAAAGCTTGAGCAAGGCCGCGGGTCAATGTTTGCTGTCAGTCTCAGCTCGCAAGAGATAGGCCCTTACCTGAGAGAAGGTGTTGTCATTGCTTGCATCAATAGCCCGAAGAGTGTAACCCTTTCTGGCGACAAGCACGAACTGGAAAGGACCATTCAGTATATCAGGCAGCAAAGCCCCGAGACACTCTGTAAGATGCTGAAAATAGATGTGGCCTATCACTCCCGTGAGTATATCCCCTAAAGCGTATTATCAGGTCCTGACCCAAATACAGATCACATGATGCGCTGCGGCCGCTTTTATGAATCTTTGATAGCACCACACATAGAGCACCCGTCGACGCATATGCTTCCTCTCGCGTCAAGCGTGACTTGCTCCATTATCGAAGACCCCGTCGAGCTGGGATCTTCCTACTGGCGTCGGAACTTGGAATCCCCGGTGGTATTTCAAGGTGCCATCGAAGCAATTTTGAGAAAGGAGCCACGATCGCAAGTGACTTTGGAAGTTGGTCCTCACTCTGTGTTGTCAGCCCCATTGAAGCAGATATGGAGAGAGCAAGCGTCCGGTCAGAACCACGTTTATGTCCCAACTATCCTGCGCGGCGGTAAGGACGCAGAGATTCAACTCCTAGAGACTACCGGCCTTCTTCATTGCAACGGCGTCCCCGTAAACTTCGGACTAGCAGGTTCCGAAGCAAATGGAAAGGTAGTCACAGGGTTGCCACTGTATCCTTGGGCACGGGGGAAAGCTCAATGGCAAGAGAGTCGTGTGGTACGCGACTGGAGGTTCAATGGGGCCATGCATCATGAGCTCCTGGGTTCTCGCGTGTCAGAGATGCCCGAGCTTGAGCCG